TGGATCTTTAAATAGACTTTGAACAACCTATTTTTATTTTTTATTAGCTTTTTAATATCTTTTGTAATCCATGGTTTTTGTTTTGATAACATTCTTTTCTTTTTTTCTAAAGATATTAAGCAGGAATTAAAAAGACTGAAAAAATCCTGTAAACTTTTCAAATGCTGCATCAACATCATTGCAATCAAGCACTTCATTCCAGTCATAGTTTAGCAAACAGCAATTCAAGTTTTTTAAACGGGTAGTTGAATATGAGAATTTCATTTCAGGCTGAGAACAACTGATGTTTCTTTTCATCTTGATGCTAAATGAGGCTAATATTGGTAGGTGATCTGATAAATCGCATGTCAAACTTCCACTTAGCTTCACAAATTGAGAAAAATTTACGAAGATGTTATCAATGACCGACCTTTTATTGATGCTACTGCTGGTTGGTGTAGTGATTAATGGTGCAAGATTATAACAAGTCATAAGATGGAGCAAGTTTGTTTTGTTCACATCTTTATTTAAATTTGAGATATCAATGTTGAAATCTCCCATTAAACAAATATATTTATTTTCATTATTTACTGCATGAAGGATTTTTTCCAACTGGTTCAAGTAGATTTTTGGGTCTTGTGACGGAGGGCGATAAGATACTATTATCACCATATTTTTATTTTTGTTGTGTGAATTTTGTGTCCGTGTCGACCAGTACGATTTCTACCAACGTAGTCATATCCACTGATATTGATGAGATTCTTGCTAACATCATGCAGCCAGCTTTCAGTTATCCCAACTAAATTAAATTTAAAAGAAAAACTGTTCAATAAATCAGTTAGATCTTCTGATTTGTTAACTAAACTTCTAATATTTGCATGCATTATGTTAAATATTAAACATTTATCAACTTCATCCTTGTACGTTAAGTTATAATCATCGTTTACTGATTTATTATCATCATAACATTTTTTGTTGATTACTTTACTCCTGCATATATTTTTTATGTCATCCGAAATGTCTTCCTCATCGCTGTTCTCAACACTATTTTCATTATCTGATAATTCATCCATCACTAATTTTTTGTTGTACCGTCTGTTCAGTTTTTTTGTCAAATCGCCACTCTCGTACGATGACGTGCTGAGGCATTATTTCGGGGTCTTTTATCTTTTTTACATCTTCTCTGTCGATGCAAACTCTAAAAACGGTTGATTCTTCTTCATCTCTGTTTTTGAGTTCATTCTGTTCATCACTGCTGTTGTTACTGTTGGTTTTTGCTGAGATTTTTTCCTCAGTTTTCTTTATGACTGGATAGCATGTGATCACGTTAATCCCATTTGCGCTTAGATATTCCATAACATCACTTCTGCGACATCGTTGTACATTACTGATGCAAAAAACGGGTTTTTTTGTGGGATCTTTATTAGCTTTCAGCTTGCAATTTTCGAGTACTTTTTTTCCAATAATTTTTGTAGCTGTCCTTTTTGTCGCCTGACTGACTTTGTTGTTTGCTAGGCTGAGGGTGACGTCGTCAACAGTGTTTTTTACTTCTAAATTACTGTTCATTGACCGTTTTTTTTGCCGTGTTTTACCAGGGTGAATGGCAGCTCCGTGCTCTCAGTAGGACTCTTGGTTACTTCGGACCAGCAAGTTTGACTTGTTTGCACGTTGTTTGTTTTTTCTTGTCGTTTTTTAACTTCAATGTTTACATTATTTTCAGCATTTAAACATAACTTGTGTTTTAACGAACTTATTTCAAGTTTGTTTGTCTCGACAGCTTCAATAGTTCTATTCAACATGACTTGTTGTGTACGCAACGACTCCATTATTTCTTGTTTAACTTTTTCAAAATTAATTGTCAAAAAATTTTCAACTTTGGGAATTTTATTCATATTAACACTAACAAAAACAGAACACTTTTCCCAGTAATTATTTTCTTTCAAGAATTTTATTATAGAAATGCATTCTAACAGTTTCTCACTTTTAGAATTGCCACGAGTTTGTTGTTTATCAACTTTCTCAATTTTTAGCGCGCTAATTTCGTATTTTAGCAATTTTATTCCAGAGGTTATATCTTCGTGACTGTAAAATTCCGAAGTATTGTTAATAAAACAATCTTTTTCAGTCAAGTTCCAATTGTTTTCTAAAAAATATAACAATTCATGATTAACGAGTAACCTCGACGCCATCTTAACCGGAAATTATTATATATATATATATATATATATATATATATATATATATATATATAATTATATAACTACACACACAGATATATATATACATATTAACGCCAAACATTCGGTAGAATTTATAGAATATTGTAAAAATTATGGTCTATTACCAACATATATGACTCTTGGACATGAGCTCGGCGTTCGATTGCGTCGATCATGCAATACTTCTCAAAAAACTGAAGCAAACATTTGGACTATCGGGAGTCGTTCACAGGTGGTTCGTGTCGTACCTTGCTGGTCGTACTCAACATTTTTGTAAATTTGCTTTAAAAACTTGGCTCAATAATTTTTCGTTGTGACCTCTGATTCTTATCTAAATTTAGAACATGCTAAGAGGCGACTTTGCGTGTCATCATTAATAGTAAACAATTCAATCAAACCACCTCTAATTCTTCTAGTACCTAATGTGGATAAGTGTAACCAAGTACATAAATTATATAGAAGTCTTATTTGGTATTCCAAGAATGTGATTTAAATCCATTAAAACCAATAGAACAATTCTGACTATGATTTCGACGCACATTTAAATCGTTTGCGTGATTTACATTCTATGTTATCAGTTCATTGCATCTTGGAGGAGAAGTGTGACCGGTTTCATTTTTTTATACAGAGTCAACAATTTAGAAAGTGGGAAGGGTTTTTAAAAGAACTCTAGAACCTCGATTGGTAGGAAAACGTTTGTTGTAAAACTACAAGGAACCTCCATTATTTATCATGAATTCTTACAAAGTTTTGTCATCATTGTCATTGTATTTGGTCCGTTCATCAAGGTATTTGTTTATTGAGTGATAATTAAGTTTTTTTTCAATACTAATGCAAATTAAATTTAAACTGTTAAACACTAAACTGAAAAGCTGTAGTGTAGTGGTGCTCGTTGAATAACAATTGATAGATTATTACTTAGGTGTGCTAAGAATTTTCAGCCCTGAATTTCATTAGCTAACTAACTAAAGTTTTGGCAAAAGTATACTTTTCTGTCTTTTTTTGTCTACCATGAAATTTATATTTGATAATTAAAATTAATGGATGAGAGTTCATATAAACATAGGAAATATTTATGCTTACAATAAAAATAAAATTATTAACACAAATTTCAATGCTCAAATACTATATTCTGGTGAGATTTTTTTTTGATAATTTATTTTATACTTTTAAAATGTAAATCTTAAATGTTTATTTTATGCACTGTAGACAGGAAAGTATACTTTATGTATGGTAGGCATGCATGGCATAAGCTATACTTTTAGTTTTATATATCTTTCTATAACATTGTGATAGCCATGAAAATAAACCTGCTACTTTTTTAACATTAGTAGTAATAAAACTATACTTTATGTACTTTTTTTTTAAAATTGGTAAGCATGAAACCATACTTTTATGCACCATTGACATTTGTAAGCATAAAGCTGCTTTTAAGCATTGTAACCATGAAATAATACTTTATAAAAAGTTGGCATGACACTCTAACTTTATTCACTGTTTTTAAGCATATATTTAGGTATCTATCTATAAAGCTATACATTTCTATGCATGCCCGGTAGGCTTGAAGGTATCTTTTTATTGGAGGTTGGGGTCAGGATTGGTATAAGTATACGTTTCTGGCTACTATGCAATTAATATTTGTGTGATAAGTATTAAGTGAAAGTATAAATTATTAGAGGTTGGGGTCAGGGTTGGTATAAGTATACGTTTCTGGCTACTATGCAATTAATATTTGTGTGATAAGTATTAAGTGAAAGTATAAATTATTATTTAAATTATTATTTATTATTTATTATTTATTATTATAATTAAAAGTTAACAAATGGATAAATGATACATGGATACTCTTTGCAGTCAACGTGGACCAGTGAATTTTGTGGCAGAAGTAATTTCAAATTATGGATGAGCATTCATAATACTTGAAAACATCACACATAAACACAATGTTTTACAAAAACACAGTTTTACAATGATGTTTCATTCAATATCTATTACTCGGGTCAGTGAATAAAATGAAGTTATAAGATATTCCTGCTCAAATTTAGGATGCTTCAATGATAACATTTCAGCTTTTTGGCATACTGTTGTTTGGTCAACGTCAACAGGATAGAATTAGCAAGACTTAATACATGTTTATTAAAAAATTTGTGAAACAAAATTTCAATTTTTTCCATTGATTCTGATCTGTAAAACAGAAAATTCAGTCTAAGTATTTAAAAATATCATTTTTAAGTGTCAGTAAATACAGATACTCATGCGCTCTCCTGTATGACACAATGGTATTCATCAATATATCAATATTTAGGAATACCAATGCATCAGTAAAAACCAAATATCAGTGAATACTGAGACGTAGGTTTGGTTAATTACCCATGCATCAGTAAACACAGATAAATCAGTAACTTACTATTATAGTATAATATAGTATTGGTTTTTTATGTTTAGTAAAAATAGTAATGCATCAATGCTGCATTTTCAGGTTATGTACCAGTATCAACTAACCTCTGTATTGCCCATCTCCTTTTTTACTTAACTTTTATTTTCACTTTAAATTCATCATGGCTTATTGTATCTATGCCTAGTAAATCAAAGACACACAACATTGTATGCATGAGCAATTTGTCAATTTTAGTACCTTCTAGACTCATTTCTTCAAGCCAAAAAAGTTGTGTTTTGAAGTTTTTGTGGTAGAAATGATTGTTTTCCTGCATGTAGTGTAGATATATTAAATTTTACGAATCATCATTTTGTGTGCTTCATTCAAGAACATATTGAGATGCATGTAGATAGTAAGTATCTAATATTTTAACATTAGAAATGAGAACAATTTGAGGGTTGCTTTGTTTGATTTCCCTCAATAAAGTTACATGATTTATTTTTAAATATCAAAGAAATCACCTGGGATGCACAAAAAGAATGAATTGTTTGGTGGCAAGATGTCAGTTGAGCACGTCTACTGTAACTTTACCAGCTCCCTCACTAGAGGGAGAAGAAAAAATATATCCTGAAAAAATTCATAAAATTGTAGATGATATAAGTCGACTAACATTACTTGAAATATCAGATTTGAATGATTTGTTAAAGGTTAGTTTCAAAGATTTAACATATTCAACTTGATTGATAAATGTTTTTACATTTAACTTGTTTAAATTGTATTATTGATTTTGCCACTCTGACAGAACCACTTTTAAACTGCTTCCAACTTTTGTGCCACTAATATGCTATGAGTGTCCACAAGGGTTGTTAATATCAACAGTATAGTTGATACAGTCTTAAATATATGGCTAAAAAAATTGAATATTAATAATAAGATGCATTAAATTTGTTAAACTGGCAGTGCAATTAATCCAGCCATCAAATGGCAATTAATCCAGTCATCAAATGGCAGATCATACAATCTTGATTCAACTCCAATGTTTCTTGGGATGGAGCAACTGGTCTTGCTTTTACCTTTCTTTTGTCATCAACAAATTTCTACACATGTCAGCCATGCCAGAACCTTAAAAAAACAACTGTTGTGAGATAAAGTTTAAAAAGTCTGGAAAAGCACCTGATGTTGTCAGCAACTGTAGGCTGATATTAAATTTAATAATCTCAAATTTAATAAACTCTTGGGATGCTTTACTCGTTGAACTAAAAAATTCAACATCGTAAGTTAAAGTAACTTCAAGAAACGTCTGAAAAATCGTCTATTCAACCACCAACAGTGAAAAAAATGAAGAGTGTGCCTCTAAAGAAAATGCACAAGAAGCTCTGCACAAATTTGGCATACAATACAATCAAATCATAAATAAAGATTAATTTTACTAAGAGAAAGAATTACACTGAGTGATTTTAAATGTTTTTTAATTATGTTTTGTTCAGTACTGGTCTTTGAGTAAAACTAAAGCAAATGTTAAAAAATGTGAGTTGGAACTTGGAGTTAGAGTAAGAACCGAAAATTTTCAATCAGTGAGTCACAGTTGGAAGTTCGACTTTGACACCCTGGCATTGGCGCATCACAGACTGCATGTGATAGGTGAAATTTTTTTACATTTGAACCCAGTCATCCAGTCACTTCAGTAGCAGCCAGGCACTTCAACCGTTACATCATCGCCCCACCCAATGATGAAGTTTTATTTAAAATGTTATTAAACGTTAAATTTATGGCTTTATTTTATACATTTATAGGTGGAAAAACCTAAATTATTTTAAGACACTCTAACGATTATGTTATTATTTTAAATGCAAAAAAAGTTTAATTTTTTTAAGTGATAACCAAATAAAAATTTTCAGAAAAGATTGAAAATAACAGAAACTCCAGTAATGCAGATGGGCACAGCCATCGCTGCTTCACCAAAAGTCCAAGTTTGTATTCACTTTTCAATTAGAAATTTTTCATATCTTGATGCACCAACTGGAATCCATGTAGGATTTGCTTTTGGTTGTCAATTCGAGCTTGGTCAACAATGTTAATTAACATAAACAATCCGTTAGTGAATGCGGCCTTCGTGCTGTTGATTTTTTGTGCTCACTGAATTCAATCCTCGTTTATAGTCTCCATCAGTTATGGGTCGGACTTTTTTATTCCATTGATCAGCTTCTGTCTCCAAGCCAATCTATTCATTGCGTCTGCATTTTTTCAAGTCCACAAAGACATGGAACAGTCGCTTTTGTTTTGCCAAGTATTTTTCCTGTAGTTGACAAATAATATAGATAGCATCAATGGTGGATCTCCCTGCCATAAAGCCATACTGATTAACCACCTATTGAAACTCACGACAACAGTCTTCTCTCAATGACTTTTTCAATAATTTTCAGGGGATGTTCCAGAAGACATATACCCTGATAGGAGGAGCATTTCAGTGGGTCTCCTTTCCTTTATATATTGGCCCAGTTGTGCTACTGTTCCATTTCACTTGTAGTATCGATTTACTCCACATCTCCCGACATATGTGTAAGAGGGCTCTGAAGTCTGCCCCACCAGATGCCTTGATGATATCATTTGTAAGTCCAGACGGACTAGCCGCTTTACCCACCTTCATTGCCTTCAATGCATCCGTAAGCTCATCAGCTGTGATGCCCTGAATAGGTCCTTCCACCGGAAGTGCATCATAGTCCATCCCAATAGGGTTTGTTTCATTCAATAGCTGATCGAAGTAATCCTTCCAGTGATCCTTCTCTTCATTCTGCAAGGTTATTATAGTGCCTTTATTATTCTTTATGTATGTGACACCAACTATATAATTTTTCAGTCTTTTGGCCTGATTTGCTATTCGGTAGAGTGATCGAATTTGTTCACCTATACCTTGGATTGATTTGCACGAGCTACCGCAATCTGACATTTCGCTGCTGTGTTCTTTAATCTTTGATCTTCATCAGTCTTCATCTTCTGCCATTGTTTGAAAACTGCTTTCTTACTGGCAATAGCATTTTGCACCGTCTCGTTCTGCCACCAAGTTTCGCGGTTGTTCGAAGTTTCAAGATGTTTGACCCAAACATCTTGTGCTCACCGTATTGTATGTAAATAATCTAAAATAAAAATTGATGGTACTTAACAATCATTTAACAAGTATCTAGATTTCAAGATAAGATGTGGATTTGATTGATTTCAAGAAAGGTAACCAAAATAAAATTTAAAAAAATTATATATGAATGCAAAGATATAGATTATATCAACAGACTTCCTAGGTTGAGATTTCATAGAATTAAAGATTTTAGTACTTTAAAATTAAAAAGAGAAATAAATTTTTGTGCTTTTTTTATTGTTTGAACATTGTGATATAATTTAAAGTTGAAGTTATTCAGTTATAGAAGTAACATTAAAAAGTTTGTTAACATGTACAATCATCCACAATGTTGTGATATGGTGAATGTGCACATTATAAATGAATTTAATTCAAAAATAAGCTGGATGATTAGGGATTATTCCTTTCAGTTAATCATGTATCAGATCATTTTATTATTAGCGTTTTTTTTCTTACACTTTTTTCCATTTTTTGTAGTGCTGTTTTTCCATAAATATTCATTATTATATAATCTTAGATATTTCACTATCTTGCGTCAGTCTGTTATTTTTGTAGATAAAGGCATATAGAGATTGTCTGCACTCATTGTTACTATATTATATTATATTATATTATATTATATTATATTATATTATATGGATATTCACCGACAAATAAAGGAAGAAGAGGAAGTAGCGGAAGTAAAACAAGAGAAGACGTCATTCACAGTTCGAATTCTAAAATTTCAAGATGATAAAAAAGTTGCTCTTATCAAAGAAGTAAAAAACCTTGTATCTGGGATGAATCTTGTTCAAGTCAGTAGTGTGTCATAATAAGTTTGCTGTTAGATTTTTTGATAACTATCGTACGTTTGCAGGCCAAAAAATTTGTTGAATCAGTACCAAGTATAATAAAGTCAGATATTTCAAAAGACGAAGCGGAAAAGTTGAAGGCATCACTAACAGCTGTTGGCGCAAGCGTTGAAATTGAATAACACGGCCAGATTTTTATAACTAGGTCACATTGGTATACAAAGCTTTCAATATATATAAATTTTATTATCTTTTTGTTTTTCTTGTTGTTCTTTCTGTTTTTTATGATTATTATTGCACTTTATGGAAATAGATTCATAACAAACTGATATCTCAAATTTATTTCTAAATAATGCTCAAAGCAATGAGGTTGTTTTTCATAAAACATATAGCGTGTAAACACCTTTTAAGCAATATAGGATTTTTACCCGTAAAAATTCTTTAAAAGAAAATTTCTATATAGCGAATTTTTTTTCTAGAGCCGTCAAGTTCGTTGTACGGAGGTCCGACTGTCTTTGCTTTGTTTCGTTTGGCATTATCAAAATTATCTTTAGAATAATCATTATTATTTTTTAGCTGAATATAGTCATCTTCACAACAATATTGATGCAATTTAAAATTTGGCAACGTCCTATCTAAATTATGAATGTTGGTGAAAATTGCATTGAAATCGTTGTTGCTATTGATAATAATAAATAATAATGTCATTTATACAGCGCCATATGCATAACGTCATAAACGCCCGGATAAACAAATGTCAGCACGGCCACCAAAGGCCTGTTCGAACAGATGCCGCTTCAATCGCTTGAACATTTCTTTTGATGATTGTTGACGGACGGTGAGTGGCAAACTGTCCCATATTGATGGTGAGCAATATGAAAAGCCTATTGTTACTGTTATTGTCACTATTATTATTTCTGCCGTTGTCATCAATGAAAGGTCTTAAAAATGAAAGCAAGCGGAGGTAGTCCATAATCTAATAACTCCAGCCTCACTACTCTCCTTTGCACAACAGTTTTACAATCAATATATTTTACAATAGGCGTTGCAAAGTTAATTGATTTTAAGAATTAAATATTTATGTATTTATATATATGTTACATAGAATTATAGAATCAAAGCAATAATTATTTAGCGCAATTTTCAAAACTGCATTTTGACTTTTCCAGCGGATATAACCAATGGCGGATCTAATCATTTTTGACGGGAGGGGGCCAAGATTTTCAAAAATATTTGACCGGGGCGGGGAATTTTCAATAACATTGCGACGAAGGGGCCAACTTTTCTGGTAATGTCAATTTTTCCTTCAAAAATTCTATCCGTTAAAACCACCACTTTTACTAACTTCCAACAAAAATAACTATCACAACGGGGGGCCCGGTCCCCTTAGATTCACTAGGTATGATAATAGATGTTCTCAATCGTTGGTAGAACCTCTTTGATACAGATTTTTGAAAAAATCTGCAGTCATCTTATTGTGCATGCTCCTGTATTCTTCAGCAATTCTACTGTTGTCCCTGGTGCTTGTTCCTTTGTATTTGATTAACTGCTTTTTTTCCCTTCAGATATTTCTTCTCCGTCAGATATTTCTTCGATTCTATGCTTACTTTTCAAAAACCAAAAAAATATTGATCTTATTAAATATCTTCTACAGCTGCCAACTCACCTCGATTCATTCGGGTATCAAAATGTTTTTTGGCTCTGAAGATTTACTCCATTTTACTTTGTTCCATCATTATCAATTGTTTATCTGCATATACGCTTCCACTGAATTTCTCAACGAATGCGAAAAGGGTTTTGCTATCGCCTTTTTTCCGCTTTATTTAATTCTGTTTTATGTGCTCTCTGCATTTTTTCCAATGACACCCTTATGGCTTTTTTTCTATTTTTCTTTTATTGTCGTGTTAAAAATATCTGTCGTTTATGTTAGATCTTTAGCTATTTGTTCAGTCCTTTCTGGAACCCACTTCTTTTCAACACTGAAACCAATCTCTTCAGCTGACAAGTTTGTAGTTTCATTGAAATTATTCCATTCTATTTATGTCCGTCTTTTCGTCACCCTTATCTCGCGAGACTTCAAATCTGTTTTAAATTTTAATCCAAGCGGTTTTTTAATTCAGAATTATTCACTATTGGTCTTGATTTAACTCACTTCTCAGTTTAACTTTGATTTCTGAAACCACCAGGTTGTAATCCTAATCAGAATCGTTTCCTACCGATACACAAATCCGTCCTTTTTCGACAAATGCTAACTGTTCATTTCTTATCAAAACAATCTATTGGATTATTAGTTCTTCCATCTGGCGATGTCTATTTTATTTTCATGCGCCGCAGATGTTTTACCCCTACACCACGCGGTGAGGTACGAGTCAGCCTTTAAAATATATAAGATATAAGTTATATATATATATATATATATATATATATATATATATATATATATATAACATCAACGTACAACCTAATTTCAAAACGACAATCCGGTGTATATTATTGAGTGATCATACACTTTCACTATAAAAATTGTCTGATACACAATAATTATAATTAATTTAAAATAAAAACTCAATTATAATGTCTAAAAGTGTTGTAAATATGAGAACAGAATAAGGAGTAAGTCTTAACTAATATGCACCATGTAAGAGATCAAATAACAATTTACAAACGAAACAATTGACATCATTAGTAAACGTAAGATATGCAAGGCTGGAATAAATTGATTTGTGATAATGTTAATTCAAAAACTGTTAAAATACAATGCTTAAACTATGTTAGCGTTTCTACATTTGGACTAGCACATCGAAAGTAAATTGTTTGAAAATCAAAATAAAATGTGATGTACAAATTTTTGTGATACCTACCAGTCATAGTAAATTAAGCAGAAAAATTAATTAAACACAAAAAAATTAATTTTAGGAGCATAACAATCAACAAGTAATGCAGCAAAATCTCAAATAGATAATGTACAGTTAAAACTGAAAGTTCTTTATGAAATATGCATATTTGATTTATTGGAATACTATATGGCGCCGTATTGAACGTTTTGAAAAAATAAACTTGGCTAAATCAAACGTCATCTTTTTGTTGTGTCTGTTGAGACAGAAATAGTAGCGTCCTGCATTGACAATTAATCTACAATTAATTATTTCTAAAACACTCACATTCAAAATATTACATCTACAAATTAAACATTGTTCAAGATTTTATTTAATGATTAATAAAAAATAAGGATACCAAGCTTGAGCTTTGTATTAAGAACTGGAGATTCGTCAATTGTGATTTTAGATGATTTAAGTCTTCAAGGAGTTGTCTAAACACTGTAGCTTCTATTTTTACAAAACCACCACTGGCTGTGCTTATGCATGAGTTGCACATGTAGCATGGACGTTTTTCAAACTGTGTGTGTCTAAAAATAATTAACCGTTTACAATTTGCAAAACGTTTACAAACCGTTTGCAGAAAATTCTAGTGAATGGCGCAATTAGATTATGTAAACTGCATAAAGTAAACGATGATCTCAAAACGTCAATTAGAACGCAAATATGACTGAATAAATAAAGTGCTACTTTGAAATAAATTAGAAAACTCTACTTGATAGGCTCAACTGGTGAAGCTATTTTGAAGCTTATATTGCCTTCATGCTGGAAAGAATCGTCTCGGAGAGGTAAAGTAGATTGTTCAGTTGAATCTAAGTTGTGGCAAGATGAAGACTCAAAAAATAAATTGTTAGCCTTTTTCAAAGTATTTGTCGATTGTTGCAAATCACTCGATTCATCACCAATGCTTACTTCAATATTGGTGTCAATATTATAATTTTTGTTTTTAGATTGTGTTACACATGTTAAAGACTCACAAAAATTACAAGATGGTGACTCCTTTGTCTCTTTACAACTGTTTGTTACTTTTTGAGACTTCTTTTTGAGAAAAAATTTATAGAAAATATTTTTGTGCTGCTTTTTTGGTTTAGAGCCATTCTTTTGTTCTTCTGTTTTGATGTTGCCATTTGGAGTTGTCATTTTATTTTGATTAATTCATTAAGTGTGTCCAAAGCCAATCAGTTTTCAATTCTATGAAATAAAAAAACACTTGGTCAAAAGTCTCAAAAAAATTCAATTATCATCATTAATAATAATAATAATAATGTCATTTATGAGCGCCATATGCATAGCGTCAGAGGCACCCAGATAAACAAATGATTAAATGTAATTATTAAAACATGCAAAAAGCTGTAATTTAAAATTTCAGATGAAGCATAAGAATGCTTCATGCACACTGCACAAAATAAATATTTATAGGTTTGCCATACATTATGGGATTTAATAACAAATGGGCACAAAATGAAGAAAAACAAAGTGTAGATAGCTGAAAGGGTTGGTTTGCTATACTATCAATTCACTATATCCAGACATCATTAGTGATGGACAATGTATTCTTTTATATAATGGGGTACTACAGTAGTTTTATTAAAAGTCAGATAATCCAGAAATGGACAATGTATTCTTTTATATAATGAGGTACTACTGTAGTTTTATAAAAAGTCAGATAAACCAGAATTAGACTTAAGGAGTGCAATTCTTACAACTAAAGCTAAAAACCTTGTTTTGAATAAAATCCTGTTAAATTTTAAGAAATAACTTATTTTATTTAACACATTATTTTGCAAGAACAACTATGCGAGACGTCAAGCTGCAGTGGCTCGTACAGATCAGTGCAAAGAGTGGCTCACTAAAAGCAAAGGTGAACAAATGAAATCTCTGTAATCGTATGGCAAAACAAGCAAAACGTACGAAAGAAGACAGTTGGTGCCTCATGTATCAAAAACGACAAAAATGAGATGGTTCTTGAACAAGATGAGATCAAGCTACATTGGAAAGAATACTTCAACCCTCTGTTAAATGAAAAAGTCCCATCAATGTCAACTTTGACGCTCCACCCATCGAAGGTCTGATCCCAGACATCATTGTAGAGGAGCTTACAGAAGCTCTTAAAGCTATAAAGGATAGAAAGGCAGTAGGGCCCTATGGACTCACAAATGACATTATCGAAGCATCTGGTACTGCAGGTATTCAAACGTTACTACAACTTTGCCATGAAGTCTGGAGAAATTGCTCAATGCCGGCTGAATGGAACTATAGCATGACAGTTCTGCTATACAAAGGCAAAGGTTATCCAATGAACTGTTCATCATATCGGGGTATACATCTGTTAGAACACTCCCTGAAAATTGTCGAGAAAATCATTGAGAGAAGATTAACGTCGTGCATCAAAATCGGAAATTATCAATTTGGTTTCCTAGCGGGGAAATCAACAATTGATGCAATTCACATCCTTTGGAAACTGCAAAAGAAGTACCTCGCAAAGCATCAACAACTATCACACATTTTTGTAGACCTTGAAAAAGCATTTGATCGAGGTTCCCCGTGAAGCAATCAGGTGGAGTCCACGTTGACAACTCATTCCAGAATATCTTGTTTGACTTGTGATGGAAATGTATACGAATACTAAGACTCTCGTCAGCACAACGATTGGAAACACAGATGCATTTGACATCGGCGTTGGAGTTCACCAAGGCTCGATTCTCAGTCCACTGTTATTTATAACTGTAATGGAAGAAATCACAAAACCGATACACACTGGTGACATTTGGAATCTAATATATGCTGACGATATCGTTTTAACAGCTACGTCTGAGCAGAATGCAGCACAGATGTTTGAAGATTGGAACACCAGACTCGCCGATCATGGAGTCAAAGTCAACATCAGTAAAACTAAACCAATGAACACTGGTGAACCCATTCAATCCACTGCTACTGGACGATGGCCCTGTTCAGTTTGTAAAGCTGTTGTAGGTAACCATTCAATCAAGTGTCAGCAGTGTAACCAGTGTTGTCACAAACGTTGTTCAAAAATAATTGGTAATTTATCTCAAATGCCCAATTTTGTTTGTCCTGCTCGCATCAATCCACAACAACAAATTTGAAATAGCAATGTTTTTGAAGTCATTGAGGTAGAGAAAGTCACATCGTTTCAATATCTAGAGGATGTTCTGGAATGTACTGGAACAGCTGAAGCTGCCGTTCGAGCCTGCATACGTGCAGGCTGGAAGAAATGGCATTTCCTTGCCTCTATATTGATGCGGTGTGACATCCCACTACCACTACGATTAAGGCTTTATAATTCTGTGATACTTCCGGTGTTAGTTATTAGATGATATAAAGAATGAATGCCGGCAACACCGTCTGCGGTGGTTTGGTCATATCAAACAAAATGAAAACAGTGTTATAATTTCTCTTGCAGATGTTGAAGTACCTGTCACATGTCCCAAAGGCCATCCAAAAGAGTCCTGGTCAGAAACAATCGAGCAAGACATGAAAGCTTTAAATTTAAATAAAATGAATACAACTGATGGTCTAATTTGGCACAAAAAATTGATGACAAAAAAAATGTCCTATCTCAGGGAACCGGATCTCTGGACGCTAAACGATGATTGATTGAACACATGTTTTTTTAGGATTAGGCATAAAATTGTGTAACCCAAACTGGCAGGTAAATTTTACTAAAATACAAAATTATAACTAAATCTACATGAAAATTTTTTTTCATCATTACATGTTTATATTTTTGTTATAAATTAAATAATTAATAATATAATAATACTAATAATTAAGTAAATGCTAAAAGAAATAGAGGCGAAAATATACAAGTCTATCAACGCATGCAATTATTTTTGTGAGATAAGTATAAAAATGAGAGTATAAATAAAGTGTGAATGGTGAACCTAGATTAATAATGAAAATATGAACTTTAAAAATTTTAGATTAATGAAATCTGAAATATGAAGGTTTAGAGGGTTATTTGAGGGTTATAAATATAGAGGGTTTACAAAGGTATTTGCTTTTACCAACTTAAACCGTTAAAGTTGGTAAAAGCAAATACCTTTGTCATTTAAATATTTAAGCATTTAAAAATTATGACTTTTTGTAACTAAATGCTAAATTGATGATTGTTAATATATAGTTATCAAGTATAATAATCTTTACCCCCAACTGTTATGCAAAAAAAAGTTTAATTTCATGCCTACCAACGTTAAAATAGTTCATCAAAGCATATTTTCATGCACATAAATGTTAAAAATACGTAAAAGGGTACTGCGCTTAATTCATTGAAGTTAGTATACTTTCCTGCCTACTATGCGTAAATAACTATTACAGATTAACCATGGCATTAAGGCATTTAACATTTTAATTTTCATTATTATTAATGAATTAAAATTAATCTATGTTCATTTTGAAAAAATTTATACACTCACTTCCATGCTTATCTCACGAAAATAATTGCCTGTGTAGTCAGACGTCTTATATGCTTTTGTCGAAATAGATATAAAATTTATAAAAATTAAAACTTAAAAACAGAAAACACCTCCATTTAACAAATTCTTAGGATTTTAAAAGTTTAAAGTTTAAATTTAAAATGTTAGCAAACAACAGATATATAAATCCATACATGGCATAATAAATAAACGAATGGAAAACAGAGCAAAGGATAAAAACTTACATTATTATAACCTGGACAGAGTCATCAGATGAAAAATGCACGGATGGTGAAATTAATTAACGTAAGTCCAGCTTTAAGCAGCATTTTGAAAACAAATTTACGATAAAAAATTATGGAAAGCTAGTAAAAAAGTGTAATCAAGGTCTTCAAAAAGCAATAACTAGAACAAATATAACGGCCTTTGCACATTTTTTAAGGATTCGAACAAGGAGCTTATTATCGGAGGGGATATGGAGGGTGATTTTGTATCGTTCGAGTCAAAAGTTACGATCGTACATTTATTAATTTCGGAATATTGCTTTAATTTAAAATGTTAAACTTTTAATTTTTTTAAAATTGTTATTCAATGTGGTAATTACTTTTATTTGGTAAAAATTTAAAATAATGTAATCGACATTACCGAAAATAATTAAAAGTTGAAAAATTGAGGTTCTTTGCATATCTCTACTTCAACCCATAAGAAAGTGTTGTATATTGTTAAATAGGCCTTCCTTGACAAAGTTACAAAATAAAAAATATTAGGTTAACATCCCGCGTAATAAATTTATCCAGTTGTATTTCAAATATATTTCAATTTAGATGACGCGTTTTGGAATAAAATATACGTATACGGCCGGCTCATTTCAAAAAATGCAATCAATTATTGCTAGGTAAAAATAGATCCGCCACTAGGCACATGCAAGGATAAGGAATTTTTTATATGTTATTATAGATTTGAGTAATTTCAAGACCCTGACCAGGCTGTAAACTTGCGAAGCAAAAACTTACTGAGGTTGTTGCTTCGCGGCACCTTATTACTTTGAAAATAAACAGTCTACCCGTACTTTATTACTGGTTTGTTTCATAGAATAACAAACAAATCATAAAAAAAAACAAAAATAACAGAAATTCGCACTAAATTTTACATTTCATCCGTGGTTCGACGGTTGTCGTGCCGACTGAAAAAAACGTCGCAAGTTTGAAAGACGTTTCTACTAACAGGCAGAGCAATAAATCTTGAATCTTGGTCAGAAGCCACCAGAAAATATTTTTGTCAAAAATGTTTATTTTTGCAAATATCGTACATTTTGGATAGATAAGTAAACGAATAGCAGTTGTTTTATATCAAAAATAAACGTAATTTAATGAAACCTTCATGTTGAAATGTTTTATTTTTCAAGTTTATTTTATATTAGAAGCTACACAAGTATTTATGTTTATGGCTAGATAGGGGAATGCATTCACATTACTGCATTCACCGGACCGTTTAACTTAAAAAATACTATTTTATCAATCAATAAATAAATAAATAAATTAGTTTATAAAGCGCTATTTCCGCGATGTTCAACAGCGCTCCTCAATGAATTTCGCAAACAGATGGGTCTTGAAATCCGCTCTGAACTTCTTAAGTGATGGAGAAGTAGTCAGAAAAGTGGTCAGAGAAGGAGGTAGAGTGTTCCAGAAAAAAGGGCCAAGAAAACAAATTCAGATTTAGCAAGAGTGTTTAACACGAGATAAGAAGTGAGAAAAAGATGATGGCAAACCGAGGTGTTTAGGTTCAATTAATACATCTGATAAGTACTTGAGAAATAATTCAGATTTATACATAAATGTGCAAATTTTAAAAATTATTTTATATTTTATAGGTAGCCAGTGCAAGAAAACAAGATATAGAATTATAGAAATACATGAGAAAAGAAAGGAGCAGGAGCAACTAGAGGAGCAGAAGAGTTAAAAGCTTTACTTAAAGGATAGAGTGTAGAATCAGGAAGACCATAGTACAATAATCAACCTAGATTAAATCAAGACTGAAGAAGTAACAAGAAGGGGAAGAGTAGGATCGTCAAGAAAAGGCAAAAGTTTTTTATTCTACGTAGATGAAAGTAAGAACTTCTAGCAACACCATTAACCTGAGAAGAAAGAGGCATGTTAGAATCAAAGATAAAGCCTAGACTACGAAACTTGTGAGAAACATTAAGAGTTTTAGAATCAGGTAAGATAATAGGAGAAATAGTAACAGAGTGTTTAGATTTATTAAAACAAATTAATTCAAATTTAGAAGGATTAATTTTAAGACACAGAGTCAGACCAAGCGATAATTGAAGACATAGAGATAGATTATAAAGAACACTGTTGAGATTAGATGGAGGAAAAGAAATATAAATATAAAAATCATTAGCATAAAGAAAAATCATTATTAATACGAGGTAGCTCAGAAGTATAGAGCATAAATAGAAGAGGGCCAAGGATAGAACCCAGAGGTATTCCAAAAATAAGAGTAGAAGAATTAGAAATAGAATGATTAAAAACAGAAAAAAAAACAGAAGAAAACCAAGATCAGTAGTATTAAAAGAATGATCAGCAGTATTAAAAGCAGAGGAAAAGTGAAGAGCAAGAAGAGTATGATTACTATTGTCACGTCGATCAGCGAAACTAAACTATTCGGGATCTACACACATCAATTACAATGTGTGATGTGGTTACTGCTCTTGGTTCTGTGACGGGTAGAATACTTCAAGGCAATGCCAGTATAAAATACCGTTATGTTAACCGATTAATCTTGAAAGTTGTAACATAATGAACGAACATTTATATAATAAAGCGTTAACAATATTACAAAACAATTTATTTAATTTTAAAATCCCATAACTGCAATGAACGGTCGTAAAATGAACAAGAAGCCAAAGTTTTTGTGTTGTATGAAGCTCCTTTGTACCAATCTATCCCATAAACTAAAGACTGGTGGTTGTTATATTTACAGACGGGTCGATCAGCTATAAGAATAAAAGTTAATAAAAGTTGAATATTAAAATAAGGAAATTACCATCTGGCACATACTAAAAACTAAATCAAACGTTTATCGATAAGCAACAGTGTCAACACAGATTAAGTGAGTGACCACGGCTGAGATAATTAAAAAACATTATTTGTCAACAGCACAAGTAAAGGTTAAGCATCTTTTAAGTCTGTTTTAGTCGAAATGAAAACAATCCATAAAGTATTTTGTACATTAAAATAAAAGAATATCTCGTTAAATGGTCAACAAAGATGAAAAGTGAATAATTCATATTGCTTACGAAGCTGACAACATTTCTCATTTAAAAAACTGTCTGACTAGAAACCAATGTGAAAACAAAATAAGAACCGTAAAAATATGCTGATAATGTTGATTCATTCGGAATAACAAAACAATGACGATATGAGTCACTCAAGAGTTACGTAAAATTCTATAGAATTTTCTAGAGAGCCATTGAAATTCGAGAACTGTCTACGAAGAGTTCAGCTTAGAATAAGGTTGATTGAAGTCACCATTTTCAACACACACAGCGCAGAGATTCGTAAAATTACTAATGGATGAGAGAAAAAATTTGTGTACTAAAAAGAACAAATTGATGACCTGCAGATGTGTCAGTATAATTGATGACGTGACAACCATTGTGCATTGAAGCCGTCGCCAAATAATTTCCTTGACTAGGTTCCCATTTCATTCTCCACACTCCTCCACCGACATGTGTATCATCTAAAGGAGATTTCAAGTTTCTTCCGTCCCATAGCAGCACATGCTCATCATAACTGAACAATAATAAAAATAAAGTTAGCCTAATATCATATCAAGACATGACAAATTTCAAGCACACCTTCCCGTAGCCAAAACATTTTCTTTGTGAAAATTGCTCTGTATGCTGCAGACACCCATTGAGTGGCTAAAATAAAATGTTGACAGAAAACTTTAAATTTCAGCAAGATTCTGTTGACAGGCTTTTCAAAATTTTTTTAAAAACTAGCCGGTTGGACGTGACGACGGCCTTCTTAAGACATCTTTTATCCCAAAGTTTTAATTTGCAATCATCTCCGCCTTAATTAAGTTTAAAGTAAATGAAAAATATGGTTTTTCTAAGCGAAGTATTTATTACATTACCTGAATAAATGATGTTGCTGTTGAAATAATTAAATGCACAAATCCAAGCTTCGTAATCATGAGCCTTCCACTGATGTAAGATATTCATCCCAGTTTCAGTGCAAACGTGCGTAGCCAAAAAGCCATTAGAATAACTAACAACTATTTCGGGATTGCTAATATAATGGAAAGAAGACGAATCAATGAAGCATTTTTAAAATATTTAAAGTGTTGTGGCAAATTCGAATTACTTGTAATCAATAGCATTATTCCAATCCAATGAAAGAGCAAGACAAGGATCATCAAAGTTGCACAAAGAAGTTTTCACCGGGCACATTTGGGCGTCCTGTCCAGTTTTAACACATTCCCAAAGTGATAAAATCCCATCGGCATCTACCACACCGAATATTAATTTATTGTGAAGCTTTTTATAACTCCATTTTATGTCCAACACTCCGCATAGATTTCTTTCATCTTTTATTTCCAAGCTAAATGAGCTTTTAGATTTTTCAAACAACAGCACCCTACCAAATCTTTTTGTGTCACTTTCATTACTACCTTCATTTGCTTGCTGCAAGTAAAAAAGTGAATAAAGAACTGTTGAGACATTTAAAAAATATTTCAAATTACCAGTTGATAGTTTCCACACAGAAGAATGTCATGGAAATTATCAAAGGGACACCATTCAGCGCTATCAGCGGGATAATCTACATCCAATACTAACAAAGGTTGAGAGGAAATCATAGCTAGTGTGCAAGGGCAACTTCAATTTACTCTGAGAAAATATTTAAATTACGTTCAGCACATTGGGATTCATTTAATGTGAATTAAATTATTTAATTTGATAGACAAGCTAGATATTTTATATTCTTATTTTGTATCTTAGGGGCTCAGTTGTTTGGATGAATGAACAAGCATTAAAGCCCGAAAGATATAAAATAAGATGTAAACATGAGATAACCCCGAGGTCGCCACTCCACTCTTGAAGGCAGTCCCATCTCACGTCGCATAGGCGCAGTGACTCTGTACATACATAAAAATGTGATGTCGCATGGCATAAACCAAAAAGCCAACATTTATTAAACATCATGCAAATACACTCCTGCTTTGCAACACAAAATTTTGATCTGTAGCAGTGTAAGGGACAAAAAGGTGTAGAGTGACTCAACAAAGAAAAAACTAATGAGAGTAAAATAAACACTTTCAATTCAACATCAATGACTTTGAAAAATTAGCGGATGTTTTATAAATTTTAGAAAAATTTAAAACCAGGACGAAAAATTTATTATTATGTGTGCAACTGGCAATTTTTAAAGCTAAAACAATAACTGTTTAAATGAAAAAAAATTTTAAATGTTTTTTTTTATTTCCTCATGTTCTGGCTATTCTATCACATTCCATCAAACACTCCCTCACAAGAATCCTTGCGTGCATTATTCCTCTTTTTAATCTCTCTGCAGACGTTTTGCTGCCAGAATATGCTGGGCGAATATCTTTACCCATATCTTCAATTACCGCCAGCAACTGTGAATATTTACTTTGAGTTGCAGATAAGTACTGTGAAGATTGTTGAATTTGTGTTAATGACGAAGAATGAGGCCGAGCAGGCGGTGGTGTGTTTCGGTTGCTGTTGCCGTCCAAATCAATGAACGACCTAGGAGTGTCTGGATTGCTCGGTGCCATTGGAGTTCCTGGACCCGAACTACTTGACTCAACAATTATGTCATCGTCGTTTATAATCACTGAATTGACAGAATTCATGTTTATTCAGGAGGCTGTTAAAAAGAAAACATCCTCAGTCCAATGAAAAACACAAAATTATGAAAAACGTTTCAAAATGTCAAAATAGAAGTTTCCTAATTCAAATAGACACAAAATATCAAATTAGACCCTATAACTTTCATAACAATTATCAATGAATGCATTATTAATTTCAATAAAATGAAAAACAATCCTAAAATTATCACCAGGAGAATCAAAATACTCAATAGTAATCAATCAAAAACTAAAACATTAAATAACAAAAACTGGTTATTTCCTACAGTATTGACTTTGGTATCTGAAGGGCTATTTTTTGTAGAGTATTGAGCTTTGTATTGTCGATACTTTTAGACAAAAAACTTATATTCGCTACCAACGCTTTTGAGCATTAGTGGATATATTTTTATTAAAGATCATTTTAATTTTCAAAATTAAGTGTAATAAATTAAAGTTAAATCCGGAATTTAAAATTAAGTTTAGCTGTATTTTACATATTTGTATTTAAAAACTTGTTTTGTTTCAGATGTCTTTTATATTTTGAAATGATGTTGTTCTTTTGGTTAGTTTGAAAAAACAAATAGAGTACTTCCAACTTTTAAAAAGCAAATTTAATTTATAAAATAAAAATATTTTTGCAATCAACCATTTTGTGCTAAAATAATTTTATTTGTTGACAATGATTTTATGAAAGACTTGACCAAAAAAATCTTCTTTTTTTTGAAAAAATTCAAAGGCCTTAGAGCTTGAAACCTTTATGAAAATATTTATATAAGCTTGCTTCAAATTTGATAATTTAAACAATTAATCATTGCGCATCATTCTTCTGTTATATATAAACTACAGAATGTTGTGGATAAAAAAATAGATAAATAGATAAATTTTTATTTGCGTGTCGTAATACTATTATTTATTATCTTTGGCAAGAGTTCATTTTCCTTTTTCCTTCAGTTGTGAGCAGCGAGGCTTTTGAAGATTCGCTTGATTTTTGTTTTGTTTCATCTAATTTAATTAAATAAAATTAAATTTGTTATTTTATCACTCTAATTTGAGAAAATGAGTTCCGAGTCATTAAAGTTAGGAGATGGATTTGTGAATTTTGAAAAAGCCATTGATGTGATAGAAAGTTTGTTTAAAGAAAACTACCATCCAATGAAGCGTGACACTAAAGAAAAAGTTAAAAATTTTTACAAAAAATGTATTCTGGAAAGCGACAAAATTGTTGATCTTGACCCAGATATGCAATACAGTTTGCCTGTTCGTGATTCGCACGCCTTATAGCATCTCAACGTCAAATTTGAAGTGCGGGTGCCTCAAGATTTATAATTTCAAGCATCGTATTCACCTGCCATTCGCACACCTTTTATAGCACCTAAACGTCTAATTCGCCATGCGGCCTCACGCTTTATAGCATTAACACGCTCAATTCGCCGTGCGAATTTCTCACGCCTTTTATAGCATCTCAACGGTGTATTCGCCGTACGATTTCGCACGCCTTATAGCACTGACCAACAATTATTTTAGTTTTATGGCATTCTACACAAAGTCTTAAAACGTCCTAAAATATTCAAAATGAATTCAAACCCATAAAGGTAAAAGCTACAACGAAAGAATAAAATAAACACATCAAATATAAAAGCACAAAGAAATGTAAAAAAAAAAAAACAGAAATTGGAAAAAACCAAAAAACGTAATGGTGATAAATAACCGTTTCACAAATCTTTCTATTAATCAAATTGGTAAAGATGTTACCGTTTAAAAAGTTAAAAATCATAAAACATTCAACGACAATTAAAAATGATAAAAAAAACCTCAGAAACTTCGCACCTCTGGTGATCACGAAGGAGAAAAACTTGAAATCTATTTACCACTAGAATGCTGTTTGACGTAAGTAAAATTTGTTACGAACATTTAATAAATAGCAATCTATTTTAGGTTTAAAAAAGAAAAACAAAGAAATTAAATATAAATAAAACCTTGATGTAAATAGAATATATACTTAGAATAACTATAGAAGCCCTCGAACGTACTTTCGCACACTTTCAGTGTGCTTTAGAGTATGGTCTCATTGTTTAGTTTCCAAGAATAATTATTTATCAAACTCACTAATTTTTACAATTTTATAGTTTATTAATAGGTATTCATTTTTTAAAGATTTTATTCATTTTAATCATTTTTTAAATGATTTATTTAATGCATATTTAGTATTTTTTTTGGTGTACGTATAGCCGAGTTTACTTGAGATCGTCGAGATTGACAATTATAAAAATCAGTGGCGGCAAACAGCTGGTGGATGATGATGATGGCAAGCGCTTGAGGTGCATTGTTATTATTATTCTTTCTCGTGCCTTATCTTATCGGGACATTGGCGACCATCAACCTCCACAATACTCGATCTTTAACATTTTGTAGTTGTTGAAATATGGTGATAGTCAACAAGTGACACAAGGATTTCACAAATGTTGTTATCTACAGTAATTTCCTTTTTTCATAATCGAACAGTTTTAATACATCCTCATTTAAATATGAAAGGTTCAGCTAATTTTCATAATTCTTCACAAAAACCACACCTCAGCAGCGTTGATTTAATCTTTTTTCTTTTTTTCTATTTCTTTAGAAATTGTCCAGGACTCAGAGCCGTAAGTTAGCAAAGTTAAAATGTAACATCCTAATAGTTTTAAATATGTTGATATTCTTATTTTACTATCTGAGGTAATAATAGAAGTTGTTTTACCTGCTTACCATTAATGATTATGGAGCAGATCGGAGCAGTTTTGTTTTTAAGGATAACCATGCACTCTGTTTTTTTTATGTTAATTTTCAACCCTTTTTTTCATTTTCAAAACCAGTTTGGAACCATTGTTTGCAGTTTTTTCAATAAATCTGCTATAAGAGCTGTATCATCAGCATATCTTACATTGTTTATATTCACGCCTCTTATGAATATTCCAGGTAGATCTTCTATCTTTCTCATGATGATTTCACTAAAGAGATTGTACAAGTCTGGAAAAAATACTCTTTATATGCATAATTGCATAATATACATGTTCTCTCAGGGTTTATGCTGAGATGAATGGTCAAAACATTTCCTTGTTGGCATTTTTGGACATGAGCTCGGCCTTCGACTGTGTCAATCATGAAATGTTACTGCTAAAGCTGCATCAAAGTTTTGGAATATCTGGGGAAATAACAAATTCGTTCAGAAGTTACCTGATTTGCCGAACACAGCAAGTTTTGTTCAACGTGAGTTTGTACTACGTCAGTCTGGTTCTCTCTGATGGGCGGCAGAGATCTATTTTGGGTTCTTTATTGTTTCTGCTTTATACATATGATGTGTTGAAGATAAATGATTCTTATAATTTTACAACAATGCAGACAACATTCAAATTATGTTATCAAGTAAACCGAAGTTATTTCAATACCAGATTCATTGAATGTATGTCGGAGGTTAATCTGCGGATGTCGAGAAATGAATTGAAGCTTAATCAGGGTAAAACAAAAATTCTTCCTATTGGTACCTGGCAGCTGTTGGCAGATTTGGGTATAAATTCGCAATGCAGATTCTGGCGCATGCGTTGATGCACTCACGTGTCGATTATTGCAATGGTTGGTTTTATGGACTCCCGGCCATATTTATCAAAATTCTACAATCGATTCAAAACCGTACTGCCTAGATTGTGGCTGGATGTCGATGGTATGATCATGCTACACCGATCTTGAATGATATGCATTGGTTGCTCATAAATAAAAGAGGTGCTTATAAAATCTCTTTCACAGTTTTTAAATCACTAAATGGTCTGGCTCCTAAATATTTATCAGATAAACTGAATTAAAAACGTCGATCGCATCTGGTGTGCGTCTGAGGTCTGACGATTCAAACGTTCTTGTCGTTCCACATAGACAGCTAAAGATTGGATCACGTGATTTTGCTGTGTCAGGCCCTGTCGTATGGAACGGCTTGACGCCAGCCCTCAGAATGCCTGGAATGAACATTGCTGAAATTAAAAAACAGTTAAAGACATACCATTTTTTTATTATAGTTCATTTCTTTTCATTTTTGCTATTTTGATATGAATAGTGGTTATAATTTGATAGCGCTTAGAAAACTGCTATAACGAACGCTATATTGAATTTTTAATTACAATTACATTTTAATTTTAATTACAAACACATAAATACGTGAATCAACTCATCACAGACTCTTGCATGTGATAGGCAAGTGATTTCTTTCCATTCAAACCCGGACACTGCATTAACAATGCCAAGCACCAAAACCATTCTACTATCGCGCCTCAAAACTTATTTCATCAGCGTAGCTATATATGACTAAAAAAAAGATAAATATGCGTAAATATTATGTAAATGCATGAAAAAATCAATAAAAATACTTATAAAGAATATATCTTAAAAAATGAATAAATATTTAATAATGAACTAAAAAATGTAAAATTTGATGAGTTTAATGAATAATTTTTCATAGAAATTAAAGAGCGAGACCAGACTCTAAAAAGGTGCGAAGCTGCTTTCGAGGGCAAGTATAGGTATTATAAGTATATGAGGTATTCTAGCTATGCTTAGAACGATGCGAATAACGTATTGAAAAAATATATGTACCGGAATCCATCACTGACAAACCGCTTCTTTATATGTACCATGTATAATAACATTTTATGTATATTCTATATATGTGATATATACAAGTTTAAGTTATTTGAAAAAGTCACTCCAAGATCTTTCACGGATTCAGATTCAGCAAGAAATATTCCATTTATATACAGTGGAAATTTTTTATTTCCTGATCCGTAGTGCATAGCAGTGCATTTTCCGATATTGAACCGTAGAAGCCTGTCTTGCGTCCTTTTAAATTTCTCATTCAAATCAGATTGAAGTTCGACTACATCGTTATCTGATGATATTGCTCTCATGATTTTGGTATCCTCTGCAAAGAGTTTTGTTGTAATTTTCAGTTTTGTTGGTAAGTCATTGATGTAGAAAATGAAGAGTAGAGGACTAATAACAGAACCCTGAAGAACACCACTGAAAATTTCAGCCCAGTCACTTTAAACAATTCTTTGTCTTCTGTTTTTAAGAAACGATTCAATCCATTTATACATCAAACCACGTGAAAATTCAGCTGATTCAGCATATTCAAGCTGATTCAAGCCTGTAGATCAGTTATTAGTGGCCAACACCACTATAGGTGAGATGGAGAAGAGAGAAAAAAGGAAGAAAAATGTTGTTATCTACGGAGTACCAGAATCATCTGCTTCAAATGTGACATATAAAAAAGCACATGCCGAGATCAAAATTCAGCACAGAACAATAACATTGTTTAATGACGCTTCCCTAAGAGGGGGTTGGCTAAAGTTTTGTGACATGCTGATTTTTAGGGGGTTGGTCGATTTGTTACAGTCTGTGACACGGAGGGAAGGGAGATCAAGTAAACGTTAAAAAAGCGTGACATCCTTTATGAACAGCCCCAAAAGATATGATACTGTTGAGCAGAAAACAATGAGTGAGAAAATTTCTTATGAAGAAGTTTAGATAGAACATACCACCTATTTTTAGATGTTGAAGCAGATATTATAGTATTTCTAAGTAAAGTAGTGTTTAGAGAATAGTAGACCTATTCATCTATCTAACAAGGCAACTAGCAAAAACCTGAATGTTGTCTTAATGACGTTGTTTAAAAGCATCTGTTTTGTACAACAAGAAAAACAGCGGTCGTAGAACAGACCCTTGGGTACACTACAAGTCAGAGATTCCCATGTCGATAATAAATTGTAAGACTTACTTTTTGTGCATGATTTAATAAATGACTTTAACCACGCTTACACCGATTTTGATATACCATAAAATGATTGCAGCTTATCGTTGAATATCACATCGAATGCCGAACTCATGTCGAGCAGAGCAAGGAGTGAAACCGTTCGGTTGTTAATAGATGAATATAAATAAGAGGTACTCGTAATTTTCGGTCCCGGTGTTTTCGGTCCAAGATTTCACTATATAGGAATTTTCGGTCCCGGAATTTATGGTCCCTGAGTTTTCGGTCCCAGATTTCACTATATAGGAATTTTTGGCCCGGAGTTTTCGGTCCCCTATTTAAAATTTATACGTAAACGTCAGTTCATTTATACAGCGCTATTTCCGTGACGTTCGACAGTGCTCAAACGTTGTGCCGAGTCACGTGCTATTCACCGCATCACATATTCGAAGTACATGATAAGCTAGGGAATGTGGCAAAGCATGCATTCGAACCCAGAGTCCACGCTCGTAACCAGCACGCCACACTCGCAGCTCAAATCAAATTAGTCGTGCCTTGCATTCACGTATGTAAAATAGTGATTGTATTGCTTTGAACAATGGATTATTTGAGTAATGCATGCATTTTATTCAAGGATTTTCATGTGATAATAGCAGTTCTAGATATCCTTGTATTTAGTATTAAAAAATTATGAAGTTAAAGTAAACAATTACACAATTTAGCTCTGTTAGTCAGTGAGTCTATCGGGACTTGTACCTTTATATATAAATATTAATTAAAGTAAACAATTAAACAACTATTGAGTAATTAAATTTATTTCTAAAATATCAAAAAAAATTTCTTATTTTTTAATTATTCGATTGTTTAAGAAATATTATTTTCATTTGCTATGTCATTAACTGACAACTTATTTTAACCTTTTGTTTATCACATTGCCTAAAATAATATTTATATGTTTAAATTCAATTTATATTTAGATTTTAACTTCTTCAAAACAGTTATGTAATTTATAATAAAAAAACTCTCAAATTAAAAAAATAATTTTTACAAAATATTTATGTGTTTGTTTACTGAATCGATTTAAATTAGTTTATTTGCTTGCGTTGAAATTTTGTTTACATATGAATGACGTTTCAAAATCCACGCATAGTAAAGCGTCGCAAACGGTTACTGACGAAATAACGCGCGTCAAAATTTTAGATTTTTCTGGGCCGTACTGCACCACGCTCTATTGATTTCTTATCGTTTTTCAATCTAGCAAAGAAGTACCTTAGAATTTTGGTCCATTGGCCTGAGCAAGTCAGTCAAGCGGGACGTGTAACTGTGCAAATTAATATATTATTAATAATATTATTGTTCCATAAAACGCCGTTTCTAAATTTAATAAATGTAATTAATAGGTAAATTGTTTGTTTACATTGCTTATATATATATGTGAACTTTTGCCGCGCGGCGAAATTTTTCCTTCGCTCGAATATCAACAGCCGCCGCCGCCGCCAGCCTAGGCAGTTTTGCTTCTGGCCGGGACTCGCCTCTTCACAACTTTTTATTTCCGGGTCGGAAAATACGGGCCGGGCGGAAGTATTATCGTGCCCTGCTTGCTGGTCGGTTAATCCGGCCCTATTAACAGCTAGCAAGTCTTCTTCAAACATGTTTTAGTTTTTAAAAGTGACAAACCAAGCCTAACTGAAATAATTCTATTAATGAACCAAAAATAAAAGAAACAAAATAATATTCTTTAAAGCAAACAAAATAATATTCTTTAAAGCAAACAAAATAATACTCTTTAAAGCAAATGTTTCTAAAGTCAACTAAATTGAATGTTCTAAATAAACGAAAAAAAATATTTTTACCAGCCGTAACAAATGAAATCCCAAAACAAGAACAACCGTCCGACCAATACAACCACGATAAAATCAAAGACTAATTCACAACGCTATTCCAAAACACCAAATTATAACACTAACTTTCCTTTTTTTTCTACAATTGTCCAAAAGGTTTATATACCAAACAAATTCTAAACAAACTGAGAAACATTCATTCTCAACCCAATTGTATGAAATGTTGTCTCAAATTATTGAAAATATTTTTTTCGAATAATGTGAATAGGGATAGAAACCGTAGCAATTTAAAAAAAATCAATTTAATACTCCGTGAACAATTGTCCTTAGGGTTTTGTCAACTGCAACAAAAAAATCATTCATTTATAAACTATCTCACATATAAATTATTATTAAAGATTATTGCAATTTCAATGTTACTTAATCTATATTAATTTTTATGTCTTTGCTTCTCTTTCGACTTCTACCCTTTTTCCTGATAGCTTGTAAACGAAACGGTTCGAGATTCACGTGGGAATAAAGATAACATTTTATTACGCCTGAATTGTGTTTGTTTTATTTATTTTAACTCACTAACAAGGTGTTAGTTGCATAAGTTCGTACTAACATATTAAAATTAATTAAACACGATTAGGTTTTTTTCTTTTTATAACTATGAAATGAAATAATATAATAGTAATTAATAGTCAAAATAGAAATATGCAAATGAAATGTTACTTACTGCTTCAAAGTAGATAGGTTATAACTTACTCCTCTTAGAAAATCCAGCATATTCACTTCTCCGTTAGTATATCGTTGACAAAACTGCTTCAATCTAGTTTGGACTTGTTCAGCTGCTTTTGAAGCTTTTCTAACTAGATGTGCTCATTAAGATATCTATCCCGGTTAACATTTCTTCCACTGGTAGGAAAGCTAAAGCTGTAATCATGCGAACATGATTTCTGAATTCTTCATCTTTATTATAGCTTGCGCTCGTTTGAAGTTGTTCCGGCACAAGTGAAACAAACAACTAACAAATCTCACAACATCTCTAAAACGTGAGTGCATGCTGACATAACTGCATATTCAAAATCGACATGAAGTTTTTCTGGATCACAGCTCCATAGACCTCTGTTTTCGTATTCACTGTTGATTGCTGTAAGCGCCTCAACGTATGTTTCAGTTGTTTTATTCACTAACAGAATATAAGCATTTGGCACTTCATTTCTATTGTCATTTGAGTGTATGGTGTACATTGCATAGAATTACGAGGAGCCACACCAAACTTTCCAGCCATGTGCCATATCTTGGAATCAACCAAAGTCTTCAGGCTACGTGGACTGGCAAAATTATTTGGATCTTCGGATTCATTATCATATATCGAAAATGTTTCTCATCCTGGACTTGTTGACAACCAGTCTCCTTCAATTTGTAGGTCAGTAAGATTTGCAGACTGACAAGCTATTTCTACTGCTCTTGTGTCTCGCAAACTTTTTTTTATATGTTTTTCACTTTTCATTTGCCCTCAGGCTTCATTAAATAAATATTTTGATTCTGCTTCAAAGATCTTGCTGGGCTTATCATATGTCTCTTTTGCATTTCTTTTCATAGCAACTCTTAATTTAACAATTTCTTTTCTTGCTGGGTTTGGAGTATGATGATGTTCTCCTTCTACCCCATGGCTCTTTGTAAAATTAATAGTTATAAAACCTTTGCAGTTCACGATAATGTAACGATTGATACAACGAAATCTAAATCCTCGTTGTTGTTGTTATAAACCTTTGGTTGTTTTTGTGAATTCAATTCCAAATATTAAAAAAATGCACATATACACAAAAAGCACAAAATTAAAAAAAGCAAGAAAACTCTCAAAAACACAAAATTGTAACATTACGCTTTTTAAATACTGCAAACTTATTTCATACTGATTACGCTAAAAACTACGCTAACCCTAACCCTATAATATAATTGCATTGTAGTAAGTACTCTTCCACATAGCCAAAATGTATAAAAAAAAACTTGCAATAATTTATTTTTGGTTTATTATTTGATAATTATTTTGTTAAAATCTAATTTTTTAATTGCCTTTTAAATTTATCGATACTTAATTTAGAGATACATTACTTAAGGTTATGTAAATATCTCTATACCACGCATTTCATAAACCAAGCCAATTTTTTTTAATATGCTAATAGATTTTTAAATTGCATTGTTGGCATGGATTCCCTCTTTGCCTCATTTATTTTGTGTACTAAGAACATAGGAGACCAAAAATTCCGGTGTAGTGAAATCAGGAATCAAAAATTCTGGGACGAAAAATTCCACAGCAGTGAAATTTGGGAACGAAATATCCGGTATCGAAAATTCCAGGAGTATAAATTCCTAGATTCAAATAAGATGAGACGTTGAGAAGCACAGTTTCTGTAGAGCAAATCTATGGTATCCTAATTGACAATCAGGTAGTTAATTATTTTAGCTTGGCTGAAACCTCTTCAATGATTTTAGATAAAAATGGGTAGGCTTGGACTGGGCCATCGGGACGCTGGGAGATCTTCGGTGGTTTGGCGGCTGCCAACTGCAAAAAGGAAGTTATTATATTTTTAGTTTTAGCAGAAATTACCTTTAATTATATGAAAGTTTTAAATAATAGTTTGCATTTAAAATACCCAAACTGAAACAGAAAAATCATTGCATAAGAAGTCTAAATAACATCTTTTCTTTCTTTCTCGTGCTTTATCTTTTCAGAACATTGGCGACCATCAACCTCTACAAAACTCAATTTGAAATTGTAAAAGTTGAAATGTGGTGATATTCAACAAGTGACACAAGGGCTTCATGAATGTTATTTGTTGCTGACCACGATCTCTTTCACCTGTAATCTTTCCAGTAGTTGTTAGATTTTTCATTCTTTCCTTCCGCATGATCTGACCAAAAAAACAAAAAATCCGTCGGATTATCTGTAATAATTTCCATTTTTCATACCCGGACTGCTTAATAAACAGTACATAATTTGGCGCGTTTTTTATTATGGGCACGGATCTCTTACTTTGCCAGCAATCAAACGACAAAATAGCATAAAACAGCGCAAAAAATTTCCGACAAAATAGCGTACAGCAAAAAAGCACAAGTTGACAAGTTTCCGACAAAATGGGACACGACAAAATGGCTCTGACAAAATATCGAACGACATAATGGTGCAAAAAAAATTCAGAAATTATTAATTACTCAATGTCAATTTTACGATTGAATTTGTAAAATTTAAATGCGCAGACAAGAAATCATTAAAATAATTGTTGTAAATTATTTTTTAAATTTTCGAACAATTCTATATTTTGGACAATGTCTCTGGCGTAAAGTAAATATTGGTCGGAAAAAACGAAATCGCCGAGTGACACCAAGATTTTAGTGCGTTTGAAAACGAACTACAAACATATTAACGCCAAACATTCGGTAGAATTTATAGAATATTGTAAAAATTATGGTCTATTACTAACACACACACACACACACACACACACACACACACACACACACACACACACACACACACACACACACACACACACACACATATATATATATATATATATATATATATATATATATATTCGGTAAAAAAAGCTGCCAATATCTTAACCTGAACAAACGTCTAACAACAATATTGCCAACTTAATACAGTAGTACAGTACATATAGTTTGACTTTGTAGTTTACATTCTTAAAACCTCTTAGGAATAAGTTTAATAATGTTGTTGATCTTTAAACTTTGTTTTATTCTTGAAAACATTTATTTCGAAGAAGTAGTAGCTAACATCTAATGAATTTGTCAATATTTGCGTTTTGCAAACTTATTAATAAAAAAAATTCATGCTCTTACTTCAAAATTTTTACAAAAATGCTTTGTTGCGCTATTTCGTCTGTTAGCTATTTTCTCGTGCGCGATTTTGTCGGCGAACCGTTTTGTATACATTTATCCGATATGTTGAGAAAATTTTATTGTTTTATAATATATTATCTGATTTATTCTTGTAATCAAACAATGATTCTAATGTTCTTGCAAATTGAATGATAAAACTAACAAAAACGAAAAAGTAATTTTACGGTATGCGTTTTTGGAATAATGATAGTGACATACAAACACTAAATAATTGAAAAGCGCAATTTCGAATGCAATGACGTCAGTTATGATTAAGTGTTTCGCAACAACGTTGAGACAAGTAGCAAGCAGCAAACAACAACCAACAACAACAAACAACGTTATGCTGTGATGGTTTCTTGATGTATAAACAAATCAATGCGACCATGGAAACCTACGAAAACATGTTTATACCTCAGTAGCCAGGATACTGTTTCCAATGTTTACACTAAACACTTCATTGCCCATATTTAGAGCATGTTATTAGGCTTTGAACCAGCGAAAAAGTTTTATGAAACTTTAGAGAACAAATAATTTTAATTCAAGTTTTTACTTTTTCAACAAATGTGGACAATAACTTAGAAAAATTCAATTATAACACCTTTATTAGCAACAGTAACACAATTTCTATGGATAGAACCGTTTTCCTAGCGGCATTGCTTTGCATGGGATTTACTGGAGGTGCTTTATTTTATGACAATTTTAATACATAAATACATATATGAAATAAACATTATACCATAAATCATTTTATAAATGAATTTTTAATTTTGATAGTCTAAAAAAAAGTGTTGTATTCTAATATTATTTTAACAAATAACTTATGTTTACATATGACTCAGTCAGGCAATATTAAAACTTGAACAATTTTAGGACATCCAAGACAGAAAAGAGGTATTGACCAATGTCTGGATTTTGGAAATCCTCCACTGCAATGTACCGCGTGCAGCAGCTCTCAAATTATGTCAGCAGATCGTCTTGCCTGCATAGGTACAACTGCATTTTAATTTATTTACAAATTATGCTATAAAAGCCTTGTAGAACTTGCTTTGTTTGAAAATTAAAAACGTAGAATTGTCAACATTTTAGATTGTCCGAATAATTGTGCTAAGTGTTCTGAAGCGTCGGCCAAAAGCAGCGTGTGCGACGTCTGCATGCCGGGCTTCGTGATATCTGCCGACAAAAAAACATGTACAGGTTGGCATCATTTCACCGATATTAACTAATAAGGCACATTTTTTGCTTTAATTATAAAAATGAACCGCTAATTATTAACAAATTTGTTTAAAAGATGTTTTTTAGATTATCCCACAAAAGTTAATAATGAATTAAACAAAATTTAACTATTTCCAAACACGCTTATTTCAAAGGCTGTGGAACAAACTGTTTATCTTGTACGTCGGCTGGCAACTGTGATCCAGGACAGTGCAAACCAGGTACAACCTATAAAAACTCGACCAAACAATGCATAGGTGGGTTCTTTAAATTTAACTCTCATTTATATAATTAAAGAATGTGGTTTCAGGGATTGCTGTGGATTGGGAAGCTTTGACAGACTTGCGTTTAAAATTAATCGAAATGAATTGTGCGTAATAAATTTTTAAATTGAAAAACAGGTTGCGGTGATGGATGTGATGCTTGTGATGTCAATGGAGAAGGCAAATGCGATCCTGGGAAGTGCAGACGCAGTTACATGTTCGACGCCTCTAGCAACACCTGCAAAGGTGCGCCGTGTTAAATATTATTCATAGATTCCTTGTTAATTCTAATTATTTTTGATCACATTAAATAATAAAGAAATGGTTGAAATTAATTTATGCGTTTAAATAAATAATCAAACATTTTAAAAATACACAATAAAAATCTACTGGTATAAAATACAAAATGAAAATCTACTGGTTAGTTTTCTTTTCCACTCTTTCTAAGACTACGCAAGCTTATAAATAAATAAATAAATACACAGTGGCGTAGGCATTGGGGGCTTTGGGGCTGAGGCTTTCTCAAAATGAAAAATTTTGAGAAAGCTTCAATATATATCATTTCTATATGAAAAATCTTGTTTGTATAAAAAATCTTTATATAAAATATATTATTGTGAAAATTTGGGCAGTCCCAACAACAATAAAGTAAAATTTTGTTCGGAACCACTGGTTTTAATTCAATAGCGAAATCTGTTACAAATTATGAGATAAGCAAAAATGGCCGTTAACTTTCAGCAGGTTTCAGGCTAGGCCACTATATATACATATATTTTCATTAAAAAAGAGAATTGTTGTTTTTTCTAACCACATATCTACCATCAGAAGGGTATCAAAAAATGCTCTGTAAATAAGGCTTTCTGCAGGTATGAAAAAAAATTACGGGAACGAAAATAAAAATTCATTTAGAAAGTTGCCAAATGAAAGCAGGCTATTAAGAAACTTGTTGAAAATAGCTGCGAACCGATAAAAATAGCAGAGTTATCGAGCACTAATTATGTTTGTTAAACAACCATCGTCATTATCTTCAACGGTTCTTGCAATAAATGCAATGGTATCGAGCGAAGTAACAAATGAACATTATTACACATTATAAATATTATACATTTGCAATAAAATGCTATTAGATCTGCCGATTGAATAACAAATGAAACAAATAAATAAGAACGAATAACAAACCGAGATAAAATTGAACATTCATCTGACGGACATTTCATTTTGTCGATTCATCAATAATTTTATGTTATGTCACGTTATTGACATGTGTATTTTTTAAACTCGAAAATTTATATACCTATTTAAATCCAGAAATAAAAATATTTTTCTTTAAAAGATCTATATTGAACCACTGTAAATTAATAAAACAACACTAGTACAAGAATCGCAAATTTTATTCCTCAACCACAATTTGCTATCACAACTCGAAAGTCATAACTAATTCTTAAATAAAAATATTTTATTAAAATGATGCTTCTGTTGTTACAGCCTGTTCATCAAACTGCATGGCATGTTCGACCGCTGGCAAGTGTGACGCCAATCAGTGCGTGTCTGGTTTCGGTTTGTCTCTATCCACTCAAACATGCCAAGGTTAATTCATTTTTGACGTATTAATACAACGCAGCGTCAATCAATAAAGTCGACAATCGACATAATTGTATGCACAAACATCCAATCGAATCCCAATAAGTGGAAAAATTATTATCTTTTACACTTACATTTACAAAAACTCGTATACATATACACTATATATATATATATATATATATATATATATATATATATATATATATATATATATATATGTATATATATATATATATATATATATATATATATATATATGTTGGAAGGAGACCATATTTTATACAATATTGTATGAAACGAAGAAATCAGCACCAACAACAATGCAACCAACAATAGTAACAAAAATAACATAGAAATATATTATAAGAATCACATGTCAACCGCTTTTGAACAGGATAAACAAATCATGAAAAGAATCGGAAAAAAACATCCAAGCAACCGACGAAAACGATAGTATTGAACTACGAATATACTACTCCAACCAAAGAACGTCATTTCTTGTGATGAAAAACAACTGCAGACCAGAATCGATAATGAAGCATAGCCATCTAATATATTTGTTCAAATGTAATATTGATGAGTGTGGGCACATATATATGGTATGACGACGACCAAGCTATCGAGAAGACTCACAATGCACGTACAAACTGGCGCTATAAAGAATCATATAAAAGAGAATCACGAAACTAAAATTACAAGACAAATCCTTGACCCCAAAGCTGAAATCTTACATTGAAATAACAACCATTATGAACTACGACTAGCTGAATCAATTCTCATAGAAAAAAACATCCGATAATAAATATTCAACAACGGGCAATTGGAATCCTTCCTACTAATAAATTCAGAAACAGAGGAATCATCGATAAGAAAACACCTACAAATGTTATATTGGACGAAGTTGAAGATCGTAAAAGTAAATAAATTAGCGAACGAGCAAGGAATCAACAAAGTAGAGTAGAGACGCAGTGTATATCTATTTAAGCATCTGGCCACATACACAACGTATCAACACCGAAGATGGTATAGGAATACCGAAAAAACTTTTTTGTTCTATCATGCCCAAAATAAACATCAATTTTGGTTTTGAACTCAAGAAACTTTAGAATGATTTACGATCAACAGTTAGAAAAATCGAAAAGTTAAATTGGAAGTTAACTACCGCCGAACATGCTGTGATTTTCATCAATAATATATTTATATTTAAACATATTTAAAATCTATATTTATATATACAAGAAAAGTTACTCTTACACATACAAGCATAAATGTATATTTACGCATGCAAACATTCACATGTAAACATATTTAAACACACACGCCAATATATAAAATATAAATCCAAACAGCTTGCGATCCAAATTGTTTTGTATGCAACTCAAATGGTCCTGGCAAGTGTGATGGTCAGGCGTCATGTCGAACTGCCTTCTACTTTGATAGTACCTCGCAAACGTGCAAACGTATGTTGTCGTCATTACTGATGTCATCATCACCACTATCATCATCATCATAATAGCAATTTTTACCAAATATTATATATATATATGTATTTGTATATGTATATCATTGTAAAGTTATAACAATGATTGTTTTGAATGACAGCCTGCGACCTCAACTGCAAGCAATGCTCATCAGCTGGAGCGGGCAAGTGTGATGTAGGCATGTGTAATGTTGGTTTCGGCTTGAGTGCAGCATCATCTGGAACTTGTACTGGTACGTTCATAACTATTGTCACATATGTCGTTGAAATTGAATGCCCACTGAATCAACGCGAAATAATTGCTTATACTCGTATTTATTCAAATCACCTATGGAATGTTGGTTGGCATTTTAAATCCTCTATAAATTTTGCTTAACGACATATGCATCGAAAAAAGCCTCGTTGCAAACTACATTAAATTATTGTTACATAAATTACTCCTCAAAAGTTATGAGGAGTAATTTCTTAAGGTTCTTGAAGTGCCGCAAGTATTGAAATTATAACGTATCTTATATTTTATTCGTTTCAGCTTGTGACAGTAAATGTCAAACTTGCTCAGTTAATTCGTTGAACAAATTAACATGCACACAATGTCAAAACGGTTATGTTGTCACAACGGGAGGAACATGTGATGGTTAGTTCACTCAACGATAATTTTTAAATAGTAGAAGTATGTCAATCATATTGTAGAATTTAGTAACATTTTAAAATCATTTTGTCAGTCTAAAACTAAAATTTTTCTGACATTTTATTTAAAGCATGATAACTTTATTTGTTATATATATATATATATATATATATATATATATATATATATATATATATATATATATATATTCAATTCAATTCAATAATGAGTTTATTCAGCAAAAAGCTAGGAGACCCGAAGATATGACTTGTTGGGCCACTATAAAATTTACACCAAAAATTATAAATTAAAAAGAAATGTTCATATTTCACAATGAAATAATGATAGTTCTATAAATAAGAAAAAATAAGATTAATTAAATTATTTAAGTATTAATAAACCATCATAAAATTGAATAAATATAAAGTATATAACGGGAAACAATTGCATTAACAGAGGACATGGTTGAAATAATTAGGCTGAATGAGCAAATAGATAGATTTTCTAATATATATATATTTATATATAACATATATATAAATGTTATATCATTTATTACATTACACACAGTTTCTATTATACAGGCGCTTGTTTTTGAAAAAAAAAACAGTTAAAACAAACATCATTTTTGCACCAACTTAATTCATACATGAAGCGAAATGAAGCGTTTGATATGAACGTTGGTATGGTGTATCTCAACATCATTTATTATGTGTGCGTGACGTCATAGCTTCTCTTGCGTCCAATAGAGCGAACAATGAGAAATTTAAGAGAAGACAATTCCAGTTTAAAATTCCATGGGTGCACCTTTAAAAATGTTTGCTAGCATCTATCGGTATTATTAAAAACATAAAAAACACGAGCTTGAAAACTCTTGTCAGAGGTTTTTTTCACATTTTCAACCGTGGAATTTCAAACTGGTATTACCTTATTGTATCCCTCCTATTATACGTCCTAGTTGGATCAAGAGAAGCAATGACGTAACGCAGACATTACATTAGATGCAGAAAGACTCCAAAGGGGAATTTTTATAGCGTTAAATACAGTGTAATGATAATGACGTAATTGCTTTAAGATCAAAGGCTTCATTTCGCTTCCTGTATATAATTTAATGTTCTTTCCGGAGTCTGAATTGGATAAAAAATATTCGGCTCCAAATTTTTTGAAAATTCTGACTCTAATAGATTCTTCAAATTTTTACAATCTTTTTGCCTACATGATCATACTATTTTAATTTTTGTATTTATATATTTTTAATATATTTTTATGTTACTAAAGTTTTTCTTTCAGAAACCTTCAAAAATTTCAAAAGTTTTTATAATCACTCTATATTCGATTTTTATTTTGCTGATTAAATTATATTTAATCTAAAATTTTTAATGTATTTTGATCTTTTAAATTCAAAGAAAAAACTTTTTAAAAGACATCTGCGTGACTCTGTTTTTACTGCTATCCATTTGTTAACTTGTTCTAGTTGACTTCAATATTTATTTGAATACTTTTATGTTTCGTTTCAACAATCATCAATTCTTTCTCGTGCGTTATACTTCATGACATTGGCGACCATC